CTCCACAGGTCGGGCCTTTATATATATAGCATAGCGCGATCATAGAAATTATGCATCATAGCCTGTAATGGATATTTTTTATGTGAGTCGATAGATCATAATCTAACGGTCACCACTCAGTGAAACCTAGAATTAAATGCTAAAACCTACCAAATATGTATATCGATTAAATTGGAAATATAATAACATATTAATTGTATTTTTTTCCTAATAATAACATATTAATTGTAATTCTTCACCTATTAGGAAAGTATATTTCAATTGAAATTAAATATATAAAAAATATATTTTTACTCCTACAAAATCTGATTAGATGGATCAACCCTAAGTCCCGAACCAATTATTATCAGTTTTGATGACTCATATGATTTATTATATGCTTTTAGATTATGAATCTAAACATACTTGNATTTTTTCCTAATAATAACATGTTAATTGTAATTCTTCACCTATTAGGAAAGTATATTTCAATTGAAATTAAATATATTTTTACTCCTACAAAATCTGATTAGATGGATCAACCCTAAGTCCCGAACCAATTATTATCAGTTTTGATGACTCATATGATTTATTATATGCTTTTAGATTATGAATCTAAACATACTTGTACGTGTATTGTTTCAGATTCTCTCCATTTTGAGTTTTCAATATTTATCTATTTTATTACATGTACCAAAATTTGTATCTAGTTTTCATGCGCAAAAGACACGTCCCACANACCAATTATTATCAGTTTTGATGACTCATATGATTTATTATATGCTTTTAGATTATGAATCTAAACATAATTGTACGTGTATTGTTTCAGATTCTCTCCATTTTGAGTTTTCAATATTTATCTATATTATTACATGTACCAAAATTTGTATCTAGTTTTCATGCGCAAAAGACACGTCCCACACATATGTGAATGAACTAAACTCAAGCTACCACCACTTCTAGCCATTGAATAGTTTTATTGATTAATGAATTGTTTAGTTGGTTAAATATGTTAGAAAGCTCGAATTTAACAATGAATTATTTAACATAAGTTAACAATTGATTCTTAAAATCTGTGGTGGTATGACACTTTTGATCTATATGTTAAACATATATAGATTATTTAAACTTGATCATAATATTATTTTGAGTATTAAGCTTTGGGTTTGTGATAATTAATTTACTAGTAGCTAATCCATTCATGTTTTTTGGCTAATTGCATTTCAAAAGGTTTAATATACCTTCCTAATAATAGGAGTGAAAATTACAATTAATATGCCATTGAAATTTTCTATTTAATCAATAGGCATATTTGGTAGGTTTTAGCATTTAATTCTAGGCTTCATTGAGTGGTGACCATTAGATCATGATCTAATGGCTCACATAAAAGCTATCCACTAGAGGCTATGATGCAGACTTTTCATGATCACGCTACTCATACATATATACACACACATATAATACTACGAGGTCACACTATAAATCTTGGGTTTCTATTACTCCTACAGTGTATATATTGTTTTGGTACACTGTATTGATATACTTTAAAGGGTTTATGAAATTAAAGTGTATCAAAATAGTGTACGAGTAATAGAAATTAGGGTTTAAAAATTACACAAATTTAAAGTGTATTAATATAGTGTATCAAAACAATGTACGAATAATAAAAATTAGGCTTCAAAGTGTGACTTCGTAATATTATATATATATATATTCTAAGATAAAATTCTTTGATTTTAGTATTTTCTAAGATAAGATAATTAAATTTTATTAATTTTAGTTGTCAAATTTCAAAAGTTTTCAAAAACTTTGAAACATATCCTTAAAAAAATGAAAATAATTTATTATGGATTTTGATTTTCTTAAATTTTAAATTTTTGTTTTATTATAACTCATATATATATCAATGTAGGGCTTTTTTTCAAAATCCTTTTTAGGAAACTTATTTACAATAAAAGGGTATTCAAGTCTTTCTATGTCTTAAGTGGATTTTTTTATAAAATATTTTTTTCTATGTACTTTTTGACAATTATATCCAATTTCGTGTATTGGCTCCCAAAGATCTCTTTCTAAATTTGAGTTTGTGGCTGGTCTAACTCCTCTATTGTGCAATAAGAAATAGTGTTCCCAAAACAACACTATTATACACACAAAATGACATCATTTGGGGGTGTCGATTCGTGTCGTGTCATGTCGTATGACCTATATATCGGTATTTTCGTGTCGTATCATTATTATTCTTGTCATATTTGTGTTAAGATCCATGAAAAATAAAATATATTTATTATATTCTAAGTTACAAACATTAATTTAGACAAATCAAAGTTTGAAAGTGCTTATGGAATGAGGGGGTGTCATGGCTAACAAAATTAAGCATTTGAATTATTGCTACTAGAAAAATACCTGATGAATGTAGAAATATTTTAGTACCTATCTATAAAAATAAAGAAGATATTCAAAATTTTAATAATTATAAAGTGATAAAATTGATAAGTCATACAATTAAATTATGGGAAAGGGTCATTGAACATCACCTAGAGTTAAGACTACAATGTCGAAAAATCAGTTTGGGTTTATGTCGGGTAGATCAACTATGAAGGCTATATATTTATTGAGAACACTCATAGAAAAATATAAAGAGAANGAAGTGCTTATGGAATGAGGGGGTGTCATGGCTAACAAAATTAAGCATTTGAATTATCGCTACTAGAAAAATACCTGATGAATGTAGAAAGTATTTTAGTACCTATCTATAAAAATAAAGAAGATATTCAAAATTTTAATAATTATAAAGTGATAAAATTGATAAGTCATACAATTAAATTATGGGAAAGGGTCATTGAACATCACCTAGAGTTAAGACTACAATGTCGAAAAATCAGTTTGGGTTTATGTCGGGTAGATCAACTATGAAGGCTATATATTTATTGAGAACACTCATAGAAAAATATAAAGAGAAAAAGAAAAATCTTCGTATGGTATTTATAGATCTAAACAAGACATTTGATAAAATACTTATAAATATAATATGGATGGTGCTTGAGAGAAAATGAGTGACGAATAGATATATTGAGGTGATAAATGACATGTATGATGGGGCTATAACTACAATTAGGTCTTCCATGGGAGAAAGTAAAGAATTTGTAATTACAATGGGATTATACCAATGATTGGCTCTAAGTTCATACATATTCGCCCTAATTATGGTTAAACTCACTGGGCACATTCAAAGTGATCCCACCTTGTATGATATTTGTAGATGATACTGTATTAATAGATGAAACTCGAAGAGAGATTGATAATAAATTAAAATTTTTGAGAGAAACATTCAAGTTGAAAGGGTTTAAAATACGTAAGAGTAAGACTAAATATATGTAATGTAATTTTANAAAGACATTTGATAAAATACTTATAAATATAATATGGATGGTGCTTGAGAGAAAATGAGTGACGGATAGATATATTGAGGTGATAAATGACATGTATGATGGGGCTATAACTACAATTAGGTCTTCCATGGGAGAAAGTAAAGAATTTGTAATTACGGTGGGATTATACCAATGATTGGCTCTAAGTTCATACATATTCGCCCTAATTATGGTTAAACTCACTGGGCACATTCAAAGTGATCCCACCTTGTATGATATTTGTAGATGATACTGTATTAATAGATGAAACTCAAAGAGAGATTGATAATAAATTAAAAATTTTGAGAGAAACATTCAAGTTGAAAGGGTTTAAAATACGTAAGAGTAAGACTAAATATATGTAATGTAATTTTAATAATATAAGAAGTAGATATAGTGAAAAAGTTAAGATTGAAAATCAAGAAATATCAATTAGTAAACAATGTAAATATATAAGATTGATCATTAAAAATGATAAAGAGATTGGAGATGATATAACTCATAGAATCAATACGGGTTGACTTAAGTGGAGGAAATCCTCTGACATATTGTGTAATAGAAGGATACCAATAAAATTGAAAAGCAAGTTTTACCGAACAGCTATAAAGATAATAATGTTGTATGAAAAAGAATATTGCACAATTAGGAAACAACAGTGACAAANGAGATGATATAACTCATAGAATCAATACTGGTTGACTTAAGTGGAGGAAATCCTCTGACATATTGTGTAATAGACGGATACCAATAAAATTGAAAAACAAGTTTTACCGAACAGCTATAAAGATAATAATGTTGTATGAAAAAGAATATTGCACAATTAGGAAACAACAGTGACAAAATAAGTGTAGCGAAAATGAGAATGTCAAGGTGAATGTGTGAAAAAACTAAAAAAAACTAGAATAAGAAATAACCGTATTAGAGAAATAGTATACGTAATTCCAATTGATCACAAATTAAAAAAAAAATAGATTAAGATGGTTTGATCATATTCAACAAAGGCCGATAGAAGCACTTANTAATGTCAACGTGAATGTGTGAAAAAACTAAAAAAACTAGAATAAGAAATAACCGTATTAGAGAAATAGTATGAGTAGCTCCAATTGATCACAAATTAAGAAAAAAATAGATTAAGATGGTTTGATCATATTCAACAAAGGCCGATAGAAGCACTTATTCGAAAAAATGAGAGAATTTTTCTTAATGATACTAGTAGTAGGGATATATCTAAATTAACATTGAACGAAATTATAAAAAAATATTTAACTTAAATAAGTATATAGCACATGATCAAAATAAATAGTAAAAACAAATTCATATAACTGACTCCAACTAATTAAGAGNCTAAATTAACATTGAACGAAATTATAAAAAAAATATTTAACTTAAATAAGTATATAGCATATGATCAAAATAAATAGTAAAAACAAATTCATATAACTGACTCCAACTAATTAAGAGATAAAAATTAATTTGGTTTGATTTATTTATTAATTATGTCAATTTTAAAAATCATGTCTTATCAAATTTGGGTTAAGAATTGGCAGCCCTAATTTTGTGCATAGAACAACGTGGTTTTTATTAGGAATACCATTACCAAGTCTGTTGAGCTGTGCCCCCGGCTGGAAGGGTATACAAATTTAGGAATAATTTTCCCTCCAAATTCCCATACTTCGCAAACCAGTGAACCCCACACTTCTCCAACCTTATCATCGTCGCTAACGAAATAGCTCGAGCACAACCCCTTCAATTAAGAAACCCTGGAATACCTAAATGGCGTCGACCTCTGCATCAGCTTCTCGTGGTAATGTCTCCGCCGGAAGGATCAAATCCGCAGCTTCGACGCTTTACTCGGATCACCAACCTCTCATTGGTGTAAGTGAGATTCCCTTTTCTTCAAACCCTAACATTCCAGTCTAATTTTATATGATTTTGAACTTTCGCTTCAGGATATTCGAAAAGCTCTGATTATGATGAAGGAAATCGCGGTTGATTTGGAGAAAGATAATCAGTCTCAAATGGTACTTTCTAATTTCAATTGATAAACCCTTGTCTCCAAGTTCAAAGACTTGTGCATTTTCAATGGGATATGTTTGTTAATAGAATATGAAATCGTTCTCTTACAGCCTGAGATACTGCTCATAAATGATTTCGATAATCTGTATGGCCGAAGTTTTCTTGATGATACTGATTGATAATCCCTATTCTCTGGAATTTTGGTGGTTTTGTAGTTTCTTATTGCTTATTATTGTAGATGGTGAAACCCTTGTTTCCATATGTTTATAAGCCTAAACTTGTAGAATCTTTTTTAATTTCCTTGTTTTGATTGATATATCCTCCTGTCACTTCCAGCATGCTTATGAAAAACCAATTTGCATTACACATTTATATATCTGGGAATGGGAAAACTTTTTCTGAGATGTCCACAAATTCATTGTTTATCTGATGAATGCTAAATTGAAATGAAAATGGAAATAAGCTTTGGTCTGAACCGATAAAGTATAAACCACGGGTTAAAGATGCTTATGAACCTCAACTTTATAAACCTTTTCAGGGAGCTCCTATTTTTCACTTATAAACCGTAGTTGCATATAATGATGAGTATTATCTTTGGAACATAAAAGAATAGATAGAATCTTTTTTCTTTTTTTTTTTTTGGCCAATGACACCTTTTGGAGTTGATGAGAAGCTTAATTTAATTATAGGTGAAGGAGCTTGAAGCTAGTTTTATTGAATTGCTGGAATCTTCTGAAGATTGTACTCATTTTTCCTCAGCAATTCAGTCTTTTGGAAATGGGTACCAGCCTGGAGAAGGGGTGCTTGAATTCTTCTTACTAATGCAGTTTTTATTGCTTTGTAGATTTCATTTTCCCATTTTTTGAATTTTGTTGATTTTTTACGACTGAATTCTTGATTACATATTCCAAATGCAGCCAACTGATTTTAAGAAGTTGTTTGACGATGAGATTGCAAAGTTGAAGGCTAGTTCGTCTTCTGTTCCACAAAATCATCCATTATTACGCCAGTTTAGGGAAGCTATCTGGGTATGTTTGCCTGCCAACTTGTACGAGTAAACATTAGGGTTTTGTTTGGTTTCAGCTTATTATAGGTAAGCATCACACATAGAATAGTCTTATGCCAGCCTTTGGCTTTGGCTTTAGATTGTATGCTGCATGTGCAGCAACCTCTTTTTGGATGATCTAGTGAAACTAGAAAATTGTTGTTTGTGATTAAGCAGAATGATAAGAATGAGGAGCTTCATAAATAACTGTATTTACAAACCACTCAAGGGAGGAATTACCATGTATAAAAGTCATGTTTGGTGACACTTGTTTCACCACCAAATTCAATGCTTTACTGAGGTGCACAGACTTCATGCTGGCTTCTGACAAATGCACTTATGACATGTGGAGATATTTAAGTCATGCTCATAATAAAGAGATGTGGTTCACCAGTTGAAGTTCCATCACATTTCTTGTGANTCACGGACTTCATGCTGGCTTCTGACAAATGCACTTATGAAATGTGGAGATATTTAAGTCATGCTCATAATAAAGAGATGTGGTTCACCAGTTGAAGTTCCATCACATTTCTTGTGAAGCATAAGCATCTCTACAATTAGAGAAGTCTGTACATGATGTAGTTTCTGTTGATGTTCTTCTTGACCTCGATGAAAATCCAACATTGTAATTTGCAAAGAAAATTTTAATGTGTATCCTGTTTTTTTTTTTTTGATCAAAATGTGTATCCTGTTTATTATCTGCCTTTTAATGATCTCAGATATCTGGAGTAACTTCTCAAGTGTCTTCTGATTTGTCGTGGTTCCCACTGTTTTTGCAGAGTGTTCATCATGCAGGACAGCCAATGCCAGGAGAAGAGCATGAGGATATTGTAATGACCAGTACACAATGCAACCTTCTGAATGTCGCTNCTCAGATATCTGGAGTAACTTCTCAAGTGTCTTTTGATTTGTCGTGGTTCCCACTGTTTTTGCAGAGTGTTCATCATGCAGGACAGCCAATGCCAGGTGAAGAGCATGAGGATATTGTAATGACCAGTACACAATGCAACCTTCTGAATGTCGCTTGCCCTTTAAGTGGAAAACCTGTTACTGAACTGGAAGATCCAGTTCGCAGGTTAGTTTGATCTTTTATAAAAGCTTGCTGTCTCTCTTTATTCAGAGGAGATTTTTTAAATGCCCGAAACACTGAAGTGTAGATGAATCCCTAAATAAAACTAATTATGTGCATATTTTCCTGCTATTTTTCAGATTGCATGTGAGTGAGTTTACATAAATGAGTGTGCCCTGTTTCAGCCAAACTGTGCATTCTCTGGTTCTTGTCAATCAATAACAATTTACAATTTCACAAACTTGGCAATGCAAAAAATAATAAAATGTTTGGGTTGGAATTGGAATGCATGGAGCTACTTATAGTCACTTCACAATAAAGACGTTATATAAAGAAAATAATCTAGTAGCAATTGGAAGCGTTAAGCTACGTCTAGTAACTTCAAGAAAATGCTGTTGCATAAAGAATGATCCCAATAGTTTCTTTTCCTTTTCTTCACGTTTTCTGAGTTCCCAATAAAGCCTATAAGTTGATGAGTGTCACGTATAAAGCATGTAAATTACATCACCTGTTTCTGATTTGATTGCATTGATGCAAGCATTTGGACATTTAAGTTATTACATTGTTTACCTTGGGTTGGCTTTCTTCATTTTTACCATACTGGTGCAGCATGGACTGCAAGCACATATATGAAAAGGTGGTCATCATGCAATACATAAGGTCCAAGAATGCACGCGCTCAGTGCCCTATGTCAGGTATCCAGGTTTTTATTTATATGTACATCCATCTGAGTTTTCTCCTTTGAATTCCACTTGGTGGTCTCACCTGAATCATACACCTTTTCAGGTTGCCCAAAAATACTGCAAGCGGAAAGAGTGGTCTGTGACCCGTTGTTACTGATTGAAATTGATGAAATGCGCTCAATGAGCAAACAAACTACTAGATTTGATGTGATAGAAGATTTCACCGAGCTCGATGAAGAGGAATCTGATTGATTCAGAGTGTATCTACAGGAACTTTTTGATGGTATAGTGGCTTTTAGGATGCCCAGCATGGCTTATATTCTAAATTCATGTTATATCCTTCACCATTATACATTAGCTAGCACAGAGAGATGAACTTCTACCCCCTCCCCCCTTTTTCTTTTTTCCCCTTCTTTCCTATGGGAAACAAGAAGTGTACTATATATCCTCTTTAGCTCTTTTGCGTATTAAGCTACAGTAAAAAAGTGGCCATTAATTGAAATTAGCTTTAGCATTCACACGTTTTGGAGGCTTTTGGATGCCCAAAGGCTCCTAGTTGAGCAAATTTTAATTAAAAGGAAACTTGTTTGGGGATATTGAATTAAGGGTTAATTGTTTTTTTACCGTTAGAAGCATCAAGATAACGGAGAGTGTGTTTTACACACTCAAAACATGTTGTGAATATCAATAAATATTGAAATTTATGGTCAATTTAATAATTATTAATAATTAAACCAGAGTAAAATTATTGATTAGCAAATATGCATTTCTGTCTATCATTTTCAACTTTCATAGTCTAACCAGTTTTTACTTACCATTTCAAAAGAGTCCAACTAAAAATAACAGTATACTAAATGTACAAAAAACTCTCTCAACTTTCATAATCTATTAATTAATGGATCATTGGTCTAATGATACTCTTTATTTTGTGAAGACTTTGTTTTTTTGAGATCAAGGGTTCAAGTTCTCCTCCTTTTCTCTTTTTTCCAAAAAAAAAAAGTTCAAAAAAAATCTATTATATTTTTTATTCTCTTACTACTTTAAAAGAGTCCAACTAAAACTAAAAATCATAGTGCAGCAAATGCAAGAATCTCTACCTTAACTTTCATAGTTTATCAAGTTTTTGATCCTCCTACTATTTCAAAGGAGTCCCTCCAAAAATCACACTAACATATAAAAAGCTCTCTCTATGACGTATCTTGTTTATAAGATTTTGCTTCTCATGGGNGAGCAAATTTTAATTAAAAGGAAACTTGTTTGGGGATATTGAATTAAGGGTTAATTGTTTTTTTACAGTTAGAAGCGTCAAGATAACGGAGAGTGTGTTTTACACACTCAAAACATGTTGTGAATATCAATAAATATTGAAATTTATGGTCAATTTAATAATTATTAATAATTAAACCAGAGTAAAATTATTGATTAGCAAATATGCATTTCTGTCTATCATTTTCAACTTTCATAGTCTAACCAGTTTTTACTTACCATTTCAAAAGAGTCCAACTAAAAATAACAGTATACTAAATGTATAAAAAACTCTCTCAACTTTCATAATCTATTAATTAATGGATCATTGGTCTAATGATACTCTTTATTTTGTGAAGACTTTGTTTTTTTGAGATCAAGGGTTCAAGTTCTCCTCCTTTTCTCTTTTTTCCAAAAAAAAAAAGTTCAAAAAAAATCTATTATATTTTTTATTCTCTTACTACTTTAAAAGAGTCCAACTAAAACTAAAAATCATAGTGCAGCAAATGCAAGAATCTCTACCTTAACTTTCATAGTTTATCAAGTTTTTGATCCTCCTACTATTTCAAAGGAGTCCCTCCAAAAATCACACTAACATATAAAAAGCTCTCTCTATGACGTATCTTGTTTATAAGATTTTGCTTCTCATGGGGCTTAGACATTCTCCAGTTTGTCAGAAATATTTTGTCACCTACAACTCAACCTTTGGCCAATTCTAAGCCCCCCACCGAAAACCAGGACACGAATCCCAACACAAAATCACTCAAATTCACGACCCTATAAGATTGAACAATAGTTCAGATCTTTCATGGTATTATTTTTTTAATTAATTATTATAAATAACATAAATCAAAATTAATGATTGAGATGAATAGAACTATAATTTTAAAATCGTTACGATACCGATTTCAATAAGTAATCTTATAACGAGCACACATTTTTAAAGAATAAAAAATTTTGATAGATTAAAAAATATGTATTACTTAATCCTATTTCTAGACCCTTTGACTTTATCATAAGACTTGAACGTGTCTTACACTAGTGAGACTTGTAGGAAGTTCTATGAAAAAACGTAAACACTTGTATGGAAAAAATTGTCTGAGTCGCCCAAACTATAGAACCGGTGTTCTAAGGTTTCTGGAACCTTCTATAAGCGAGAAGTGGCCCTTATCCTAAAATTACAGCGTTCTTTCTCTGCACTGCACCAACCATAGGGTAAAACTGCTGGAGAAGCAGAATCGATCAATGGCGATTTCTCGAACTTCTTTGCTTCGCCAGAGTGCTGCTGCTTCTTTATCTTCTCTGAATCCTTTCTCAATGTCGTCTTTTACTCTCTCTCTTCGTCCAAAATGTAGGTTTAGTCTCTCAGCCTCTCTCTCTACCCAAGGATCAACTTCCTCTTCGGTTGAACCTACGTCGTTGAAGACGAGCCACCGTTGGAAGCCAATGTGTTTGTACTATACTCAAGGTAAGTGCACTAAGGTAAGCTTCTCCACCTCAATTAGCTCGATTAACCTCACCACACACACACACCAAGTACTGTCCTTTGGTTACTGATTGAATTGGCTCATCCATATGGACATGGTTTCAACACGCCATTTGTTCGCTGAAAATTGTCTAATATCAAGGATTTCTTTTTTGGCTGGTCAAACATCACTCCTTTGTTGCCTATCAAAACAAAAAGAGAAAATTTTCCTTCTCTAGTATATATATTCAACATCTACAAATTTTCAAACATTAATCACTGTCCAGATTTCTGTTTGGGTGAGCTTTTTGTTGAATTGGCATGACAAATTTTGATGTAGAAGACAGTGTTTACTTGAACTGTGCATGCTGGCCTTACATTTAATTGCGGAAAAAGCTCAAAAAATATGCTTACGTTGTGTTTGGAAGCATTTAATTCATCCCTTGTTATTGTAATTGGAGGAAATTTCAATTAAACTACTGTAGTATTTAATTCCAATTCTAAGCCATGAATTGCATGATCCCANCAGGTTTAGTCTCTCAGCCTCTCTCTCTACCCAAGGATCAACTTCCTCTTCGGTTGAACCTACGTCGTTGAAGACAAGCCACCGTTGGAAGCCAATGTGTTTGTACTATACTCAAGGTAAGTGCACTAAGGTAAGCTTCTCCACCTCAATTAGCTCGATTAACCTCACCACACACACACACCAAGTACTGTCCTTTGGTTACTGATTGAATTGGCTCATCCATATGGACATGGTTTCAACACGCCATTTGTTCGCTGAAAATTGTCTAATATCAAGGATTTCTTTTTTGGCTGGTCAAACATCACTCCTTTGTTGCCTATCAAAACAAAAAGAGAAAATTTTCCTTCTCTAGTATATATATTCAACATCTACAAATTTTCAAACATTAATCACTGTCCAGATTTCTGTTTGGGTGAGCTTTTTGTTGAATTGGCATGACAAATTTTGATGTAGAAGACAGTGTTTACTTGAACTGTGCATGCTGGCCTTACATTTAATTGCGGAAAAAGCACAAAAAATATGCTTACGTTGTGTTTGGAAGCATTTAATTCATCCCTTGTTATTGTAATTGGAGGAAATTGCAATTAAACTACTGTAGTATTTAATTCCAATTCTAAGCCATGAATTGCATGATCCCAAACCTGGCATTAATATCACTTTATTATTCGATAATGTTATATTTTCTTTGGCTGTTCTAAGAGCCTCAAATTTGGATGGACTGCATTGATTGTTGATGGTTTTGAGAAAATCCAACCAGGTTTGTTAGCATGGCTTCTGTTGGCACTTACGGCACCTACTAATTATGTTTGATACATTATCAAACTATATATTGGAATGTGAAGAAGGACATCCACTTGCAATATTGGATGTTAACCTTAAATACTCATAAATGTTCTTGTTTAGCATGACATAGCATGCTGAGTTAAACATGGGGGAACCAAAGATATTCTGAAATTGTTCTATTGCAGCAAAGCGCTATTACATAACAAACATATACACTCATGGCCTTGACTACAGACCATAGGACCTCACGAACACAGCTTTATATATACAGAGAACGAGTTTGTATTTGCTTATTTGTCAGTCTGAGTCTCGGTGTGAGATTGTGAGCAGCAAGTCATGTCATGGGTATGAATGGGAGTACTCTCAGTGTGTCATGCACACATGCATGTAGGCTGGAAGAGAGATTCCATTTTTGCTGTCTTTTTGGTGGGGGATGGGGATAATGTTGTTTGCCTGTGCAGGTGATATTTCAGTTATTGCTTTGGTATGTTGAATTTTGCTGGTGTCTATGTATTGGCCACAGAAGTTCATGTCACATTGTGTTGGGAAAAACCGAAAAAGTTCTATTTGTTTGGGTCCTTCAAGGATACGAATCAACTTGGAAAATATGGATGTCCTTCTCAAGCTTCATGCGTTGCATGTGCAGATTTTAAAATTTCTGTATTTGGGAGTGGTCTCAGGTGGTTTCCTTGACAGTGTTATGGTCCCAGAATATTAAATTGTCAATCTCATCAACACTCCCGTTATGAAAAACAACATCTGGCATCTCAGATAGATATTACTTTCTAATGCAAAAAACACGAACTGTGTATTTTCTAATTAAAGGTTTGCTGTTTCACAGATGGATGATCCAATCCACCTTGAGAGCTTCAATCATGATTGCTCCAGGGAGCTTAGATTAAGTGCTGCCGAGTTCAAAAAATTACGCTCTCAGCAGTTAGATTATTTTCNCTGTTTCACAGATGGATGATCCAATCCACCTTGAGAGCTTCAATCATGATTGCTCCAGGGAGTTTAGATTAAGTGCTGCCGAGTTCAAAAAATTACGCTCTCAGCAGTTAGATTATTTTCTTGTGCTTGATTTGGAGGGAAAAGTTGAGATTCTCGAGTTTCCTGTTCTGATGGTTGATGCCAGAAACATGCAGGTCGTGGATTTGTTCCACAGGTTCTGCTCTGTTTATGTTTGATGTACGTAGTGTGGATTGAATTAATATGATCTTCTGTGTTAAAATTTATGCACCTTTCACTTGCAACTAGCTTGGGAATAGGTTGGGAAATCTGCAACCATAAGAAGCGAACATAACATGTCAGGAGAGCATGAGTCCTAGTGAAATAAAGACCGTAGCATATCATAAGAATAAGCGAAGGGCCATCTCCTGGGAAAATCGTATTGACATTATGCTTATTGACCGTAATTAGGGCCCGGAGGGGGTAAAGAAGAGGATGGTTGCATGCCTGGCTTACCATTCTGCAGTAAGTAGGCTCTACACTAGGATGATAACTGGATATACTGTTAGAGAAGCATACTTACTTTCAAGTGCATTGCAAAAGACTTTGAAGCAATTCTATTTTTTTGCATTTTGGTGGGACAGAGGGCAGTTTGTGATTTTTAGTTGTTGGACCTCACAGGCGTTGTCCTATGATTTTTGTTTTGTATCTTGTCACTTGAGGGTTGGACTTCTTGTCCAACTTCTCTTTTTATGATGTACTTTTTTGTATTATTATGAATATATTAATGTTTTCTCATCAAAAAAAATAAAAAGTGCGTTGCAAAACTGGAGCAGTTGTGCCCATAACAAGGTTTGTGAGGGAATACTCATAGTTTCATACTGATATATGCATTATTTGTTGCTTTATTACTGATTGTCGTTTTCTTGCCTGAACTTATGTGTAAAGGTAGGTTAGGAGTTATAAGTTCTATCTAGAAAGCATATTTTCAATCACTTATTAGTTAATATTTTTCTCCTCCTCTATTCCCATATTTTAATTTACAGGTTTGTGAGGCCCTCAGCAATGAGTGAGCAAAGGCTAAATGAATATATTGAAGGAAAATATGGAAAAATTGGAGTTGATCGGTATGTGATTGATTCCACTTCGATGCTTGTCACTGGAATCTCTAATGATTTTGTTCACACCATAATTTAACAGCTGGTACTCTATTTTGGAGGTTCAATTTCATGGATATGTTTGGTTACACCGGCCAAGCTCTTTATATCACTAACTAATCTTGTTAATTATTCTGTCTACTTGGTTGGAGCTAACAATATGCAATACAAGTCATACCCTCCACCCAGATAATATAGCAATTACGAAAATACTGAAGATTCATTGCAATTATTGGGGGAAAACATAAAGCATTGCAAGAAAAAAATATCAAAGCTACCTATAGAAAGAGAATTAAAGCTCTTTAATGTATGTTGAGAATTGTTGTAGGGAGGTATAAGATTCATCCAAACATAAGGCATATATGTGAATATCCATGGGAGGGACGAGAATTGTTCTTGGCTCTATCAATGACAGTAGGTTTCTTGCCAACAACTCTACTTTTCAACAGACTTCGTTGGCTACCATTTTGGNCATGGGAGGGACGAGAATTGTTCTTGGCTCTACAATGACTGTAGGTTTCTTGCCAACAACTCTACTTTTCAACAGACTTCGTTGGCTACCATTTTGGTTTGCTGGTGGAATAATCCTAAACTACATAATGTGCTACCCCTTACTACTTTATGGTATCATGGTACTCAGGCATATTCTTTGGAAGTTTTGGAAGGGTTGGAGGGGCCCAAAAAAAAAGACAAAAAGAAAATATCAAGTGAGAAAGTGCATAGAGGCCATAAGGGCATACATTTGATGCTGTGCAAGAACTTCAACATTTTGGAAGGGCAGTTACATCTGCAGCAACAATTAAATACACCTTGAAAAAAGATAATAAAATGAGAATGGATTTATACCATTTCTAGACTTGGTTTTAGATACATATCTTGTTCTTGTTTCTTATCAAAAGAAGAACTATGTCTTGCGTAAGAGTTCAATATCTGTGTGTCTGGGCCCATGGATAACTTCACTTATAGGTTGTAACCACTAGAGGTCAGATGCCAGTATATCTGACTTCAGTACGGTGATCATCACATGCACTGGGACAGTAGTATAGATTTGAAATTTTGAACTTAATGAATTTGTTTCTAGCACTATTCTAGAGTGGTTGCTTAAAAGTGATGCTTATGTGCCTCAGTAATTTCCAATACCTTTGCCAATCTTCCACGCATTACCACTTGAGGGGGAAAAATGGGATTTGTTTTTGAATTCGTGTTTTTGATATGATGGTTCCTAAACTCTTTTGCACTACTGTTTAAGCAAAACACACCATCTTGTTGGCATGGCGGACATTGTTTTGGTTGCTTCACTGCATGAAAACCCCATTAGAACCACACTTAGGACCATCATATTTAAAATACTAATTCCCATCATAACTAAAATGTCCTGTATTCTATTTATTGGTTCACCATCAGGATTTATCTTGGGAGGATGAAAATTTGCAAATGTTTAGCGGTCCCATAGCTATTGATGCTGATTTAATTTCGTGATACTGACTGGTTAAAATTCTTTGCCTGTGGAGATTGTTTTGAACGAATTATTGTGAACTTTACTCTCTGATGCTTATGAAGAACCAAAAGCTCCTTTGGCATATACACTGAAAAGTGACATAAGGTATTACACTTGCAGTGTCTGGCATGATACAGCTATCTCATTTAATGAAGTTATTCAACAGTTTGAAGCTTGGATGGCTCAGCATCACTTGTGGAGAAAGGAGCTCAACGAGCGTCTTAATAGGGCTGCTTTTGTGACATGGTAAGTTCACTATTATGGAGAGCTACTGGTGGAAAAATCGTTCAAATGAAACCAATCCCCTTTCAGTACAGCTTCAAACTTGATTATGTTTGAACTTGCTATCACCACCTAAAGACTAATACACCGTTGTTCTCTTGGAGATAGAAACAAAAAAGAGACATTTGGCTTTGCTATCTCAACTCAACAAAGCCTTGTCCCAAATATTTTTGGGGTCATCTACATGCCACATGAATGTTGTTTCAGTGTTCTATTAAATGCCTGTATTGTTCATATATGTGGCTTGAAAATGATTTGACCGCTGGAGGAGACATTACATAAAATGGGACAGTCAAANACCAAAAAGAGACATTTGGCTTTGCTATCTCAACTCAACAAAGCCTTGTCCCAAATATTTTCGGGGTCATCTACATGCCACATGAATGTTGTTTCAGTGTTCTATTAAATGCCTGTATTGTTCATATATATGGCTTGAAAATGATTTGACCGCTGGAGGAGACATTACATAAAATGGGACAGTCAAAAACCCAGTTGTTAAGCTTAGAAAAACAGAAATAAAATAAACAATCAAACTAGTGTAGGTGATTCGGTATTCATGGTATGTTGGATGAGAAATTGTAAAAACCCCCAAATTTTTTTTAATTTCAGCTATTCAATTCAATATATGCAAAGCAGAACAAGAGCTCAGAACCTTGTTCACTGAAATATCTTTNACCCCCAAATTTTTTTTAATTTCAGCTATTCAATATATGCAAAGCAGAACAAGAGCTCAGAACCTTGTTCACTGAAATATCTTTGTTTACATGTACCAGTGGGAATTGGGATTTGAAAACTAAAGTCCCTCAGCAATGCAAAGTATCAAGGATGAAGCTTCCCTCATATTTTACAGAATGGATCAATTTGAAAGACGTCTATCTGAACTTTTACCAGAGGAGGGTGAGTACACAAACATCTGATTTCAGGATTCAAATGAATGNTTGTTTACATGTACCAGTGGGAATTGGGATTTGAAAACTAAAGTCCCTCAGCAATGCAAAGTATCAAGGATGAAGCTTCCCTCATATTTTACAGAATGGATCAATTTGAAAGACGTCTATCTGAACTTTTACCAGAGGAGGGTGAGTACACAAACATCTGATTTCAGGATTCAAATGAATGATCATATTTTTTTCTTAGGTGGTTCCCTACTATGTGGATTCTAGCATGACAATGTGATTTGGGCTGGGTACTGTTAACATCAAACAGAAACCCACCCAAGGGCTTAATGCCAAGAGCTGTGACCTTTTCTACCCAAGACCAGGATTTCCTATTTCATCTTGGGTTGGATTAGGTTGCATCATGAACAAAGTATCTTTATCTTTTGGTCAATGTGGATGCAGTTGATGACTTACTGCTGCCATATCTGGTTGTAGAATTGGTCACCCAAAGGCCAGGGTAGGTGGTTGGGCTCCACCTATGCCGAGGCCAAATTACCCCCAGATTCGTTTGTTTCTAGTTTCAGTTTCTCGCAAATTGATAGTCTAATACCGAAGTGTTGCCTTCTTTTTTCCTTCCTTGAATCTAGGCCACAGGGATGCTCACTATGATGAAGGAACTTCAGATTCCTTTGCTAGGAAGTCACCACCTTGGGATTGATGACACAAAAAACATAGCAAGAATGTTGCAACATATGCTAACTGATGGTGCACTTCTGCAGATCACCGCAAGGAGAAACCTTGATTCTCCTGAAAATGTTGAATTCCTCTATAAAAATCGTATCTGATAATTGCACGTTTTAGCCATTTGGCAGTAAAAATGAGATTTTGTGGCCTCTTTGGGCGAGCTCATTGGAGAGAGAGGGGAATGGAGTCGTGGTACTGAAGGCAAACCATGGAAACATGGTTGCTTGATCTTTGGAGCCATTTTGCTATTGGGTATGCTCTAGTCAGGTTTGATCTGGTTCATGCTCTACATGGTAATTGTTAGCAATACTTGGAGAGGTGCTTCTTTTGCATGCTTGGTGAACAACAATATAATGTGACTGTGAGTGATCTAGAAAGCTACAAGATTTTCAGATGACTATAGTCACACAGCCAAAGAATGTTGGGGGC